TGTTTTATGGCATTTCTGTTATGATTTTATAGCCACAGTTTATCATCAGTGGCAGTCAAGATTTGTGATCAGTTTGTTGAAACAGATATCCAGTGAAGCATTTGGAAGTAAGTCATAGTTAATAGTATTTTCCAGTGGCGGCGGAGGTAATCGCGAGGCCCTGGGAGAGATTGAGTAGCTAGTCCCTTAAAAAAATGTAAGACATTTAGAGTGAGCTATATTGCTGCTTTCACAACTCAACAAACTTGTTTCTTGGCCCCACAACAATTACAAAATTTTAAATTAAAAACACCAATCATATCGAGAAAAATAAGTCTAATACGCAATAATATAAACGTAACGAACCCAAATAACACCATTGATTAAACCTGTTAAGTAAATCATTGTTGAAGATGGCTGTCTTCTGTGTTGTTGCCCCGAAAAGTTTGGTAGAAGATTACCAACTTATTCATCGCCCAGATGATAGAGGCAGCAAGGACCTCTGAAACGTCGGTAAACTTCTACCAGATTAGACTGTGCAACAACCCAGAAGACAACCATCTTCAGACTCACCATCATGAAAACCTCAAATTCTACAGTCATGGTTCATGAGGATTACTAAAAGCTCCCAACAGTTGTGTTACTCAGCAACATTGTGACTGAGGAGTGATAATGTGACCGAACATTTATCATCTTCAGTCTTTCATGGATAAGGTGAATCACCTATTCCATCTTGTTATCGGTCTTCCAATGTCTCGTCTACCAGACAGGCTGTAGTTATAAGCTCATAATGGAGTTTTGGGGCTTGTCAGTAAGAAGGAAATCATCCCTCACCTCTTACCATCAAGCAAGCTGGTCATTGATGAGACTTCCCTGGCATGACTGTCTGATTCATCTGGTACTAAGCTGTCCCACCACAACGAAGTGGTACCCGCAGGATGGTGGAACCGAACAGTACAGTCAGTCTAATGTCAACATTAGCATTTTATGGAAGGCATTTAAAATTTGTTGTTTGCTCTGAAAAGATTTGTCAATTTTTTTAAATGTTTTCCCATTGTTGTCGTCTCAGATAAAAGTACACGTGTAAGGCAAACTATGGCAACTGTATAAGGAGAAAAGCCAATTCCGTTGCATACATGTGCAGTTATGAGGTATGCGAGGCCCAGGACTAGCACCCACCCCCTTCGCCGCCACTGCTAATTGTGCCGATGGGTATTTCTTGTTTAGATTATAATTTGGGAAAACGAGTGCAGCCAACTTATGGTTAAATGACATAGCAGATTCATCTGTTATCTTGGTACACAGACTTAATTGCACAGAGTAATTTATTTTGTTACTTTCTAATGCTCGATTTAGTGCTTTCGAAATTCACTTTCACTGCATTTTGAACTTGATTATTTGAATGTATTTTATTTTTCATGAATTGAAATGCTCTGTTTTCTGTTTAACTCCTCTGTGTTTAATATGTTGTTTTCCACGATAAAATTACATATTTTGTGATCTTCATCGGTAAACATAATAATAGTTTATGAGAAGAATTTTTGTATGCTACATTGCCCAGGGCCTTGAACTAAATGAAGAAACTGTAGAGTTGAGTTTTTCAATGAAATATAATCCATGTCTACACATACAATTCTTAAATAAGGAATGGCCTCTCTAAGTTTATTGTACATAAATTACAATATCAGTTTATCTCCACTAATATTAAAAGTGAAGTAGCTCAAATTAGACAGAATGTGATAGCACCTTTTTACATTAAATGCATGAAGACATGTTAATGGCTGTGGCATATGAAATTCTTCCTTGTTTTTGAGTATTTTAAATGTTTATTTTTGCCAAAGATAACACTCTGAGAAACACCATCTCCCCTTGCTACTTTCCTTTCCAGAGAAGGATACTCTGTGTAGAAAAGCAGAGAGTCTCACAGCAAAATGTTGATTTAACTTATACTATTGGCAGTATCTTGTGCTTCATGGTAAAATTCTGGAGCTACGAAAGGTGTTTATTTCAAAACTTTATATATAAAATTTGATAGTGTACAAAAATTTGTTATTAATTTATATGCCTCATTTTCACAAACTGCGCAGACTTTATCGACAGCCACACTCGGCCACTACCATGTCCTGGTAGCTGAAGCGATATGTGAGAATTCCATTCTGATCGACATAAAGTACAGAAATGGGCTCTAGTCGAGTGGGCACACAACAAGCCCGCGGCACCTTGCCTGGGGCCACACTATGCAAAAGAGTCTGGACAATCGCATGTTTCGTTGGGGACAGATGTTCACTCACAGGAAAGAAACATTTGCCAATGCACTGGAATGCCTGAAATAATAATAAGGTTAAATTACAATTTTAGAAGTAAAATAAAGGCTAAGTTATAATTTCTAGTTATAAACAGGTAAATGTGAACATCAAATAGCATATATTGGAACTAATAATGGTGGTGGAATTTAATTTTAAGGGAAGTATATATTTTTGGGGCTCAGTAAGAAGGGCTAAATTTTTATATGCTGCTCTGTGGAAACTATGGACTGAATCAAAAGACCGTTCACTCTTCCATGGCCTACTATGCAACTATACAACATATTTCCTTACATTAAATAATATTATAAGCTTTAATTAAGCAAACATAAGACATGATTTTAACTTTTATATGCTGGTTTGTTGCACTCATCTGATTCCAAAATAAATTTCATAACATGCAAATGTTAGAAGTGATGAGATTTGAGTTATTACCAAGTTTCATTCGAATTTTGGAATTAACTTTCTCTTCCTGTAGACTGAGTACTTAAGTTTTTTTACATATTCGATGATTTTTTATGTATTTAGGAACATCTAGATAAAAATATTACTTACAATCAGTGCTTTTCCTTCTGAAATAAAAGTACCTATTATCAGATATAACATTGGGAAAGGAATGGTCAGTGGGTTTTAAGTCTTTTGGGATAAAGATAATGACTTAGGCAACGTGTGTCATTTGTGAAAGCCAGCAGCAATGAACAAACGATTTTTAATGAATTTTAATGTTTGTGTTTTTTATAAAAAGGAAGTATTCCAGCCTTATATTGTGTTGCATACTGCCAGAAACAGGATCTCTACTATAAAGTGAATGCAGACACACGTTTTCTTTTCTTTTAACTTGAAAACCACTACTCCACGTACGTGAATTTATCCTGTGTCCACCGCGACACTTGCCTCGTATCCATTAGGAGCCACAATCCACGTGTCATAGTGGATCTCAGAGAAGTCTACATACAGCGGTCGTCTGCGGCAGGTGTTCCGCTGCCTCTTGGTCCGCCTTGCTTGTAGTCCGGTCGCGACTGCGGTCCTGTCGTCATCCCATATGTTGTTACTTTCTTCCTCATAATCTTCCGTGTCCCTTTTACCCCGAGTTCTTCGTGGTGGTGCACCCTGCAAAAAGATGTGGTTGATGTTTAGTTATTTATTGATTACACTGTTCATTGCCTGACTGGCAGCACTGTTATATGCCAGCTCAGTCATTTGAACGGCCGTTTCATTAATCTTATCTTAGTGCTTCTCAGATTTTAGGTCTGTAACTTCTTGTAGGTGCGTAGCAAGTTTTGTATGGTTCACTAAATGCGTAATTTGCCGATAGTGCTTTCATGCAATTGGCAGCAGAGTGGCACACGAGCATGTACCTCCAAACTGTCCGCATTCTGCCCGTGTTTGAAGTAGCTTTGTGACATTCGCTGTCTTCTCCTTCCACGCCTTCACCCACTTCTGTTGCTTACTGGTCCGACTATGACAAAGCACCTGATGCAGCCAATGATAATAACTAACTACAAGTTAAACAGTGATTATTGGCAAGAGGAAACTAGGAATACCGTGAGAGCGGAATACGACAGCAGCAGTAAGGGCTGTACGTCCTGATCCTGGAACTGAGGGCCGTCATGGGGGCTTACTACCAGTGCAAGATCGAGTTGACTGTGTGGTGACGTAGCACGGATATGCACCAACAGCCTCAAGAGAATGCGTGGAATGAGGCGTCTCACCGCCGCGGTCACGTTGAAACTCAGCCACGTAACCCCGTGCCTCTGGAACACGTGTCGCACATCCAACTCCAGCAGCGTGGCCTGCTCGGTCAGCATGTATATGTGCACCAACCGCTCCAGACCTGGAGAAAGTGGAGTCTAGTTCTTAACCCCGAGAACGCCGTTAGTCTGTGATTTGTTAATTTTGTTCTCGTACTAATTGTCTAGATTCAGTTGTTATTCCAAACTCGTATGAACCACTGACAACCTTTGATAACCGCGGTCCTTTCAGTAATATTAGCTATTGTGACGGTTTTGGAACGTCACCGGGTGAAAGATGAAGTCGGTAGTATTTGTTAGGAAATAAATGTAGGCCTGTGCCAGCACGGAATCAATGCGATAATCTTGAGGTGTTCGTGTCGACATATTTTGTTTTTGTTAATTATGTATTTGTAGTGTATGAGCCGGGATAGCTCAGTCAGTATAGTGACTAGCTACGGGCTGGACGACCGGGGTTCGATCCCCGACGGGGGCAGAGGATTTTTCCTCTAGCCTGTAAAGCCGGCCGGGGCGTGATGCTGACCACTCACCCCCATCTAGTGCCGAGGTCAAGGAAGAGAGGAGCTGTACCTCCACTCACCCCAAACGCCTACATGGAGTATAGTGGGACAAACTTTACTTTACTTTACTTTTATGTATTTGTAGTGTACAATAACATATGGCATGTCCGTATGTTACAAAAAACGGGGCGTGACAGTTGTTTCAGCCAAGCTGAATGTTGTAGATTCTTTCAATCCTTTGCTTTTTAGGGAACTTTAAGATGTTTACAAAAAAAAAAACCGTTATATGACTATACAGTGAGTTTCTTTTTCCAGATCAGTTTTGCACCTTATACTTATTTGATATCCACTCATCTGTGTCACAGTCTTCTTAGCAGTCTCTTTCTGTGGGTTCGAAATAAAATTTCACATGCACGTCTTATTTCCCATGCGAGCTACATATTTGTCCCTCTCGTCCTTATTTAATTACTGCAGCTATACTGGGTAAGTTATTCGAGTCTGTGTCCCAGTGAATTCAGTAGGTTAAGTTTGTGGATTATTTTGTCGCTTGTTGAAAAATTATTAAAGTCTGGTCTGAAAAATGATTTACTGTAGGCTTGTACAGTCTTACCCTTGAGATGATAATGTTGCGTCATATTGTGATGATTATAATTGTTTAATTTTAACCGTCTAATCACAATAAAATATTTTATTAAATATTAAAATACTATTATGATGATGCTCTAATTGTAAATCGAACATTTCAATGAAAGAGCATCATTATAATATATTTTAATATATTTTAAATATTTTAAATATTAAATGTTAATTATAATAATATTTTAATATTTAATAAAATATTTTATTGTGATTAGACGGTTAAAATTAAACAATTAAGTCTTACCCTTGTTAATATGCTGTGTCAGTGAACCGTGTTTTCTGGCGTACTGTATCTATATGTAACGTTTTAATATGAAATTTCACAAACACTGCACACAAACGATAAACAAACACATATCTTAAGGAGTTAGATACATTAATAAAGTCTTCTCGGGCTCCATGTTATTGTATCTCGGAATTTGGGAAGATACATTCATCCGAAGAAGCATGGTACCTCAAGAGAGCGCCCTGTACCTGTATCTTCGTCTGATGAGAGGATGTCCTGGTACTGGCTCGTTGTTGTGAGCAGTAGACGCAGCTCTGCGGACTGTAGGGTCTCACCATAACTCGAACTAGGGACATCGAATACTAGTAGATGACGACGATCCTCAGCTGGCACCTTGAGATTGCCACCAGGCTCCAGCACAGAGGCTGTTGACAAGGCAAAGTAGTTTTGAGACTCTTTATCCTATTTATAAAATTATTTAAAGGCTCGCTAATCGCTGAAGTCCAGTGCTGAAAGAGAATTTTAACATAAAATTGCCAGTATTCTTGTAAGAAATTTATCCGCCAAGAGAAACATTTTTGTCTGTGATCACTTTTTTCCCCTTATTGTTCACAAGATACGGGGCATGACGAATCAGTATCGAATTATAGAAGTTTTAGAATAACAGAAAATGTAACACTTCATTTACGAGAATGTAGAATCCTTATATTTCTTCGATGTGTCGTTCAAAAAAATTTGAATATGACGCATAAAGTTAATTTCGGAAATCCTTTTTACAACGAGATTTTAAATTCAAAAGTTCCAGAATTATAACCTAAATGTTGCGTACTTATTTGTGATCTATTTAACGACAATATCAGTAGCCCGGGAGTCGAATGACTATACAATAATAAATAATGAACAGGAAATTATGTGGAAGGAAGCTGTTATGGCTAAATATAAGGTACTATCCACGCATTTGCCTGGCGGGACTGAGAAATATCACAAAACTACTTGGTCTTGATAGCCGGTGTCCTCGCCGAGATTTAAATTAGATACCTCGTGAATAGGAAGCAGGAGGGCCAGATAACCACTCAACAGCGACTTTGTAGTTGACAAATTATTAGTTGGACCTTGATTATTTATACATAAAATATTAAGCGAATCTGTTAGTTTCAAGAGCGAAATAGATAATCTCCCAAATATTATTACTGTCTTAACACAAATGTTGTTATAATTTCGTACCTGCGGTCCTTGGAGTCAGACCTCTTACCACATCTGGTGCAAATCTTCCACTGCCAATGCTGCTGCTGTGTCTAGAAGCTGTTGCTTTTTCGTACAAATCCAACATAAATCGTGGCACGATATGACGTTGCTTCCTTTTAAAAACGTCTGACATTCCGAACGGTTTGCTTGTAGATTTTACTAGGTGTTTCGTAGAAATATTGGATATTTTTGAGTAGGCCACTGTCTCACCTATTACACTAACTTGCACGTTTGTTGTGATCACATCCTGAGTGTTTGTTTGAGGTAAGTGGACAATCCACAACCAGGTACAAAATGTTAGTGACGTCAGCGCAAGAACGACGGAACTTTGCCACCACATTACGACTCAAAACAATTGACAGTCGTACTTTTTTACGTCATGTAATATCTATCAGAAATATGTGAACCAAAATAACTGTAAACGTCTTTAGCGGTCAGAAGTAAGTGAATTTATAACGTAAGCGTTATCCAAGCTACAGTGTGGCATCTATGGCAGTTTGAGCACAGCTATTTAGCTGATGCTTACGTTTATTACTGTACTTAAGTGATATCAAATAGTAGAAATATTAGTGTTTTATGGCTTGTACACCCCTGATGGAATTTAGTTAAATGTAATTCTGTAATTGAATGATCAGCTTTAGTTTGAAAGCTGCACGAGTTGCTTTGGATTGTGTCTTAAGATTGAAATAAATGTCCCTAGATGAGATTCCTTAACAAACAAGCAATGTAGTTTCGTTGCAAATAAATATAAATAGCTGACACAATCATTCTTTGTTGGAAAATTCAGAAGTGGTAATACGATAAAGCAAAGCTACTTTTTTCACTCAGTCTGAATAAAATAGCCGTTTAATTCTCCACAAACTCAGGAAGACGGCGAGAATACCAAATACCGGAAGTAACAATTTTTTGTCATTCGTTCATTAGTCCAGTTAGGCCGATCTTAGACATTATTTATCTCTCTTATTTGATAATTCAGCCGGTTGGAAAATACAAGTCGCTGAAATATATCGAACATAAGAATTTAATTTTAGAATTGAAGGAACACAACTTTCTTGTCCGATTTGGTTGTTTCATCGATTAAGTTCCTTTATGTGTTCGTAATATTGCGTCGATGAAACTATTTTTATGCACTTTTGTATTACAGAAATTCTTGCATATATCTCGCACAGTGTCAAATATCGGCATTTTAAAATTACATGGTAATTAGTGCACTATTCTTGAATATTCGTCGGAGTTGATCTTAAGAAACTTAATGCACATTATCGTATTTAATTTATCACGAAATTTCCTTTAACGGTTTAAGTACCAAGCACTTTGACAACTTCTGTGGATCCTCGCTGCCTGTGAAGTCTCCTCCCGTGGTGTCCCATTTCTGTCAGACTTCGCTCGAGCTTTGCGAAGGAAGATCGCTTCTGTTCTGGGCACGCAGTCTGAATGAAGTCTCGACTGTGCTGCTACATACCTGGCCTATCAGTCGCTCAAGCATCCCAACAGAAGGCTCTTTTTCATTATTAGAACTCCACTTGACCTAGGGCCCAAGTGTTTGATAGGTATTTGGTACAGTCTCAGAAAAAAAATATTGTCTACTTTTTCGTCGTCGTTGCGTGATATAATTCCGAATTACTGGTAATCCGTGTGGTAACTTTAACTTTGTACATACAAAGCCAGTCTTCGGAAAAATATTTTGTATCATACGGAGTGACGTATTAGGCAAGTTATAAAAATGCCTACAAGCCGCACAAAACACATCAGAGGGCCGCATGCTGTCCGCGGGTCGCGGGTTGATGACCCTTGGCCTAATCTTTGTCTCTACGTCACCTCTTCGCATTTATAGCGTCCTTAGGCGTAGGAATAAGCCGCCATGTTTTCTCATGCGTTCCATTTGGGCCCTGCGTTGATATTTGTGTTCGACTGTACGAATCCTAAATTTATGGCGGCTATCTAATCGGGATGCCACCTGGCGACTGTGGGTGTTCCTCTGCTCCATGCTCCATGATGTTCTCCCCCACTACTCAATATGAATGTTACAGGGCATAATGTGTATTTTATGTTTATGTTTACCAAAGTTGTTTTCTTAACCGTTATTTATAAGCTCTTGAGACAATTTATGTTGACAGATCAAAGAAAACGCGTCTGCAGTGCTTCAACATTAACGTGGTAGTCAATTACCCGTTACTTAATGACAAAGTGCAAAACTCGTTGAAAACAACGGTATGTTTGCAAGAAATATCATGTTAACCATTAACATTACTGGTTGATATCATTACCACTTCAAGTATGTGGTACATTGTCTTCCTGGATAAACTGGTAATTCGTGAGCTAGTGAAGAAATTCCTCTGGTTTATGGAGCAGTGCTCAGAGACTTCGCTACCTGATCGTATCCTCATTCAGAACATCCCAGTTCACAACTTCACAGCCCATTTCTGTAATACCAGTTTTAAACATTTTCTCTTATCATCGCACAAATCATTCAAGTGATCTCTTCTGTCGAAATTTTCTAATAAAAAATTATATGTTTCTTATTTCACCATGTCTTGTTCATGTCCATCTGTTTCATGCTCTTCGTCGTTTCAAATTTGTCAGTCTTTCTTTCTTAATTTGACTTTTAATAATTGACGGAGTTTCTGGCTGTCGTCTCAGAAGATAAAGTTGTTTTATTTTGTTCAGTACTAAATTTTATAGCGCGTGGAGGTGAAATGGCGTATGTATTGTTAAAATTAACTTATTTTTTTAGCTGAATTTTTAATTTACCCAGGTCTGCCACCTGACGTCACTTTCAATACCAGTATTTTATTTTACAAGAACTGATTAGCGTTACATTCTCCATGGGACTTTCATTTTAATACGACGAGTCGCTACTTTTTTAGAAAATGAAACATTTTTTAATTGAGATTAATTCACCGAAAATGCTTAGTGTTGACTCCAGATACCATTTTTGTTTCGAAATCCGTGAAGAATCTGTAGAGATGAAACATGCGGATATACGAACAGCTGCTAGTACAGAGAACCCATAAATGTTTTGTATCCTTACTAGCATTGGGCAGGCTTCATTTATCTGCTTGGGAACGTTGACGGCAACATTATTTCAACAAAGCGTCACCTAACGAAATTATTCATTTACGTTACTTACAGCATCTTGTCGTTCGCTCTTGGAGCTACGTATATCGGAACAGGTAATGTAAAGTTTGAGCATCGATCTACAGTCCTGTTCGGTCAAACAAGTTCGCCGAAGAATGGCTGACGAGTTTAATTCGAACAAGTTCTCAGAACAGACGCCACTAGCTCATTTATTGCCTTTCGATTTGTAAAATGTATAAGTTACGTAATACTAACGTTCGATACCAATAATTCTCAAACTGTGTTGCGCGGGACGCCGGTGTTCTGTGAGGAACTCGCAGTGAACTTGCAGTGGTAGTTAAATGAGACCACTAGAGTGTTTTGCTCTATCCACACAACGTTTGATCCACTTGGAACGTTGTCTTTTTTTTGGGGGGGGGGGGGGTACTTAAATACCACGTCGTGATGATGGAGGAAAAAACAAATCTGAGACGTAGTTCATTTTCTACGAGGCTGCATGGCTCAACATTCCAGAAGATAGTAATTTTCAACTGTTCGAGTAATTTCATGTGTATCTATCGCGATGAACCAGATATACCTGTGCGAACTTGTGTGTTGTTTAGTTGGTAATAGTTTTTCGCTGTAAGAAAAATTGGAGGAACTTTTTATTCTAATTCGAGGGATAAGTAAGGCATGAATATCCAATACACTATAATGAAAACTTCTAGACCAATATATCACAAGAGGTTGCATCTGAAAGCGCCATATTTTATTGATCCATGTCATGTTGAATCCTTTTATAGTAAACGTCCCTCATGTTTCTTCCTTTCGATAACACGTGAAAGGCAAACGGCTGACGTGTAGAACGTTTTGATGCATGAATTCCTTTTTCCTTGAGCTAATAATGAAATCATGATTTCATCGTCTTCATGTATTTGAGAATGGAAATACCGAACGTCACGGTTCAGTGTTGTTACTCCTGCTTCGTCTTCTGGAGGTCCCCGGGTTCAAATTTTGGCCCGGATACCGACTATTCTGACCGAGGTGCCTAGTGGTTTCCTCCCCCCACCAGTATTTGCTTCTCTTGAAAGCTTCATTTGACGTAATTTTACCGGGGCACTGAACATGCGAATATATGAAGATTATTTACTTAGTATGATACGTCATGTGGTTGAACGCGTTAATTGGGTATTTTAATATGGTCCTAAAATGTTGTATTTGTATTTTCAGGATATCGTTTATTTATCGTTTAATGGTAACTCTGTTATATATCTCGGTAAATATAACTACACAACGTTAACAAACGTTTCAGGTAAATGCCGTATTTTTAACGATAGAAAATTCTGTAGTCAATTAATTTAATCATGATAAGGGCGACAGCTCAGTCAGTATAATGAATGGCTTATGGCTAGACAGTCTTAGTTCAGGACGCACGTCTTGTCCTCCACTGCTCCATTGCTTATAGGATCACAATGGTATCTGTGCCCCTTTTAACCAGAATACCTATTGTCCGATCTTAACGAAATTTGGTCAGCATATTTAGCCTACGTTGTAAGTTCTCCCCAGAAATAAAGTATCTTACTGATAATGTGTCCGTTCGAATGCCGTTCATGCATTGTAATTGATGATGATAAGTAGTCTAATATTTGATGTTGTCTAATATCGAATAAGAAATGATACCATAAATTTCATTTAGAATAAATGTGAAAGGAAGCAGTTGTGGCGAATTGTAAGAGGCTTTCCGAACATTCTTCATGGGAGATGAAGAAAATCACGAAAATTCCACAGGGATGACCCAGGTTTGATCTGTGATTCTCCTGAATACAAGATAAATTTATCTTTTCCGTGCCGTGTGTATAGACGTCTGTATAGGCTCTTAGCTCGTGATATATCTCTCAGTTACATAAGAATTTCTTTACCTTGCGATCTTTTTGTCCTTCGTTGTTATATGCACCGATCACGATATCTCAGTTGTGACTATTCACATTCACCATTAATTATTATAATTGCATTTAGTTTGGCGTTGCGTAACTGCTGAAGCTATTACAGCGTCATTACGTAAGAATTCAGAATTTCGAGTTGCGAAGTGTGAAACGAGCAGCGCAGACGCGGTGAGAGGATGTTGATATTGGCTTATATTCTTCTGTATCAGGAAGGACAGCCTACGCATTAAGTGCCAAGTAATGGGATTTTGTGAACCTTGAAATTCACGTTTGGGTTTCATAAAAAACTAGTATATTGATCTACTGTTAGCAGGAACAATTGATTTATAATCTCTATTTCAGGTGATTAAAGGTGTCGTAAATGGTAACATTATAGATCATTATAAACTTACTCAAACAGATCTTTGGAATTCTAAAATCTTTATCAACACGTGGCTCCAAGAAGATTAAATCTTTAAATTGGTTGATTACAGGAATACGTAAGAGGGTTTAAATACAAATAGTCTACGCGTGATGTCTCTGTGAAAAATTGTAATGACGATGATAACAGTGATTGTGATAGTAATGATAATAATCATATTTGTGTTTTAACTGATCCACAAATTTGGTATGAAAGGCCGCCAGCCAGTCAGAGATTCTCAAATTTTGGATGATTTAGTGACGATGCGACAATAACATTACATTTACTTCACAGAACCACGCATTACCTTAAATTTGCGTCGAACGTGAGTGAATTGGGCTTGTAGAGCTATCAAGTCGTGTCACAACCAGTAAGACAAAAAAAGGTTTGAACTTTGTTACAGTAATGGATGGATATTTTCCAGATCCTTCCAACGTACTGTGGGGCACAAAAGCATAAACTGATTGCTTAGTAAAACGTTATCATTCTGTAAAATGTTAACGAAATTAATAATTTAATATCTCCCCAGTTCGTACGTTTACATTTGCGTGTTGCAGTAAACCCCTCTTTGTGTGTGACGTAGTGACGGAATGGTAATCAATATATGGACAATAACATTTTTATTCCCCTTTGCTAACGTCCGTGTTGAGAGGCCATTCCCCGGCAGAGAGAGAGAGAGAGGAGTGGGTTCATGCTTGAAAAGAGGCTAATCTGGAAACAGCATAAATGACCCTCAAACTGAAGCAGCAGTGAATAGGCGATCCCGGAATTTACGACCTGATTGGTTTCTCGAGAGTCGATGTAATTTGAACCCTTATTTCCGACACGCACGACGTTACAAATGACCTTTTCGTTCCTGGAAACCCAATTAATACCAGAATAATACTAAACAGAAATTGCCTACTGAAATGATGGGGAAAAAGGCCTCTACAAAGATTCAGTATGAAAATAAAGCACAGAAAATATGTTTGAAAATTCTTAAATGTGCATATCGCAAACGTTTCGGTGAATGAAATTCCTTTATCTTCTGCGTCGTACGCCGTCGTAAATTTTGGGGAGGGGGGGTTAGGGGCTGTTAACATGAAGAGAAAAATGGCAGTGAGTCTGGGG